AAGTCTCTTGGGTACTGACTGGTACTGACGGTATCTGACTGTCTATCGCCTGGTGTTGTGCCGCCTTTGAGCAACATTTGACGAAGCCCGCATCCGTGTCGCTGCATCTGCAGCCGGGTGGGAGCACATCCAGAGCCGGTCCAAAGCCATGAATGCAAACAATCAACTCTGCAAGGGTCTCGGGGGGCTTCCAGTCGAAGAGATGGAAGAAGCCGCCATGCTGCAAACAGGCGACGCGGCCTTCCAAGTGGTCCCAAGAGAAGTGGTCGATGCCTTGGAAGGACTCGTAGGCACGCACAGCGTCGGAGAGCCCAGGGTCATCTTTGGAACCAGGCTCGTAAGGCAGCCGTTCATGAATGACGTCCACACCCCCCATGTCCATCAAGATGGCCATGAGTAGCATCAGCGGATCCTGTGGATCAGAGCCCATCTGCAGCCCCGTGGCTGCCTCAAAGTCCGGAGCTCGCGCTCGTCGCAGCAGCTCAGTTGGAAAAATCAGTACAGTCCTGAGGGAGGGCTTTCCACAACATAGAGCCAGTCGGACGCCGCAGCTTCTCCAAGACTCCGAGATGCAAATCGCTCTACGAATTGCTCCAAAATACTTCGCAAGCGCGCAGAATCCGATGGCACAACCAGAAGTAGCAAATCGGGAACGCGCTTGCCGTCACGAACTTGGTAGAGCCGTGCCAGGGCATGCTCGAGGAGCAGCCACGTGCTGCTCTTGCCGCCACTGCGATCGAACTCCTCGTCGCATGAGTTGTAGACTGCCTGGTGAAAGACGAGATCCGTCAAGTGTCCATGCCTCATGCCGCTCCCTTGGTCTGGGAGGGCTAGCCCACCCTCCCTACACGCTGTCGTAATGAGCTCCATGTGCAGCTTTTGCGTCGCCACGTGGTTCGGAAGGGGCATTACACCAGCCAGCAACCGGCAACGCGTTGAAGAAGGGAGAGCTGTGCTTGTGGGGCAAGGCTCCGGTTCATCACCGCCGTGGCATGCTTTAGGCGGATCGGCAAAACACAAAGCGAACATGGATGTGGAGAGCGTATGTCTCTGTTCTGCTAGATCCTTGAGTGCGGCATCCGTCCGAGTATATTCGTACACTGATCCTGCAGCGAGACTACCACCAACACCTTTCGCCTTTCGCATAGTGTGAAAGGGCGTACTGTTCAAACAGGACTGGATGCAGGGTGGTCGTGTTGTAGAACGCGGCAGCAGGCTTCCAAGAAGCGGGAACAAAACAGGAGATTTCCGAAAAAACATGCGACCAGCACTTCTCAAGAATAGAGTCTCCGGCATTTAGATACGCCCGGCGTGGTGAAGAAAACCGAGGAGTGCTATAACAGATTTGAGCACCACGTCCATTCAAGTCTGCCAAACGGACACTCCATGAGTAGACTGAAGGCATCTCTACTGCCTCCAGCAAGGTCATGCCGCAGAAAGTCCCGCACCTCTGCAATATATTGGCGTTTTTCCAACTCCTCCTGGCTAGATAAATTCAGGCAGGAAGGCACCAAGCGGCCCTGCCAGAAGTCTGCCTCCGAAACTTCTACCACCAGTCTCTCCCAGTCAATCTCCCAAGGAAAGGGCAAGCTCCACTCCACGGGAGGCCCCTCAGCGCGCCACCAGCTCCTCCCACTCCCCAGGCTGGTTGGGAAGACGATGACCACCGGCAGGCAGCCCGACAACAGCACGTCCAGGAGCCGCTTAATGCCTGGCGGCTTTCTGAGAGCGTCTCTATGCTCGAGAACTTCAAGCTGCCCTTGTGCAAATAGAAAGCAAGAATGAAGGCACAAATTGCTAGCCACGATGAAAGGGTTTGGGGTCCCTTCAAAACCCGGCAACAGCACTCACTCTTGCACCGAAGTACTGATACCGAAGGGGCTGTGGTATGCAGCATATGCAACGTGTACATGCATGGCATCAGAATAAGCTTTACATCCTGACACCCCTCCATGGACTGCTTCCCTTGGGGAGTATGTCCACCTGAGCAGGATGAACCTGCTAGCCGAGCATTGCTGAGGCTTCAAAGCTCAAAACGAATTCAATCTCCACAGTTCCCACAGGGCGTGTAGCCGGAAGCAATGGCCACGTGCCGGGGTACCTGTGTTACACTGCCGGGTCTCATACGCCTAGCGTGGTTGAGATCTCCGCTGCTGTTCTTGTGAAACCTCTGGCCACTCACCGTCAAGTAGACGATGTCTGTTTCCCTAGGTCCCCTTTCTCTCATGCTTCTTGCAATAGAAGCAGCCTTTGGTGGAGCTGTCACCGGCGCTCGGGTGACTGCAAGGCCTTGGCTTGAAGAGCTGGCCCCTCCATGGCCTGATTCGCCGAAGTTTCGCCGATCACGGTTGGCGATGTAGCGGGCTCGCAGTCTTCACTTGTGTGGTTCCGTCGGCTCAAAAGCCCAAAGATGCATCTGAAGATGCACCAAAGAAGGTAAAGATGCACCTTCACAAGGTACATCAGGAACCAGTCTGAACTGCTAAAGCTCCACTCAGGCTTTTCGTCTTCTTCACCTTGGGCTCTGGTCAGCTGTAAGGAACCTGCCAGTAGTGCCGCTATCAGGCCCCTTCGGTCTAGCGGCATTACTCGCAGCATTTCGCCAATGCGTTGGCCGCTGAGCGCTTTGGTTCCCAAGTCAGCCCAGTTGCTGCTTGTCGGGACCTTTTCTACTTTGAGAAGTCCTTTGCTTGTCATATCTTGAACCCACAAGTCACGGATATCAAGATGCTTGACGCGCCCAACTCCCTTGCGACTGGCAATTCCTCTTGCAGCGGTGGAATCCGTTTCCACCACGAGGGGCAGTCCAGGGAAACCTATGACATCCCAGATCTGCTTTGTCATGCGGCCCATCGCCGCAGACCTGGTGAGGGCATGGAACTCTGCCTCTCCACTCGACAGCGCAATCACGGATTGCCGCGCGCACGAGGCATCGATGAGATGTGCCCGGAAGCGCTCACAGGATGAGCTCATGGATTTCCTCGATCACTGTCGCTCATCACACAGACACTTGGTGGTGTCTCCTGGTACCCACACTCCCAAATCTCACACGGATGCTTCAAGAGGTAGCGGGCTAGCCGCTTGAGCTTCAGCATATGCAGGATGGTTGGCTTGGCCATCCCCGATGCAATATCAGATACTGCATACTGTATGCTGGGCCGATCCAAGCTGAGGTACAGAGCTGTTCCTGTCAGCTTGCGGAAATCGGCGGGTAGAAAAGTCCTGGCACGGACGCGGCCTCAAGGAACCCTGCCTTGGTCATGACAGACAGGATACGCTTGGCCCACTGCTTGCTGGCTTCGCGTGCCCCGTTCATCGCCTTGAGCAGGTACCAGAGCGTTCCCTGGTCTAGGTCTTTGGGAGGGACCACAGGGATCTTGCCCGTCGCCGTGGCGTGGAAGAAAGCAACCGACACCTCGTAGCGGGCTATCAAGCGCCGCCGTGCCGTCCTTCCTTTCTTGGCTGTGGCAGCAGCGCTCACAACCATTCTGTGTGCTTTCAAAGGCGGAGTGCCGGAGAACACGTCGTCTCTTTGGTGCGTTGACCTCTTGGGCCACATGCACACCTGCTACGCACTCCCTTTGGGTCGTGAGGAAGGGCTTACCAGCCGTCGACCCAGCGAGATCTTACGATCTTCAGGCCTTTCGTTCTGGCCTCCTCCCAGATGATGTCGCAATTCACCTGGCGCTCTTCCATCTTCTCGCTCTCGGCCTCTGGCCTTGCGAGCTTCCCGGTCTCGGGGTAACCTGCTATCGGGCCCACCTCGTGCAGTGTGGGCAGTCCTCCGATAAGTTCTCGGAGGGTGACATCCTCAGCAACCGCTTCCTCTAAGGAGCGTTGAGGAGTCTCAGCGCTTCTCGCTTCTGGCCCTTGGCCTCAGCTTCTCTGCGGCGCTTGGCCTCAGCGTTGCTTGCAGTATCAGTTCTTCCCAGGTTCCACGTGTGACAACCTCGGCTGTCTCAGGGCGTTTGGTCTTCGCCCGCTTGGCTTCCCGCGTCCTGTCTGCCGGACCTCCGCAGAGTGACCCGCAGGAGGTGCAGCTTCCAGGTCCATGCTTGCAGCTGGCGGTGCAGCTGGGGTGCTGGGCTGTGCGTCCACAGTCCCTCGCAGAGCTCTGCACTCTGCACTGTGTGGCTTAGGGTTGTCCCCGTAAGCAGTGTTGCACCCTGCACAACCTGGAGTTGCTCCGTGCTCGATCTGGCGTTCCAAGGTGATGCCGGCGCCCTGGCGTACCTGGAATAGGCGGTTGTCCGCGTACTGCTGTCGGCTCACCCTCTGCTTGCCAAGGTGTGCCCTTCATCCGATCCAGGACCGCCTTGTCCCAGCGCTTGCCCTCCGGTCTCCGGTAGCAGCTTCTGCATCGACGCATTCCTTCGGGAGTCCCGACCAGATGCTCGTCTGAAGTGTTGCTCTTCCCGAGCCACACTCCAACAGCAGTCTTAGGCTCCATGCTCCCTGGGGCCTCAAGCTTGTAGTGGACAACCTCAAAAGGCTCCACCACCTCACCACGGTACTCGCGCCCACGAAGGCGCTCGTACCGCGTTTTGCCGTCGCTCTTGACAAGGAAGCGGGAGATCAGCCACGAACTGTGGCGGACCAACCAAGGAAAGTACTGGTCCTCGGAGTCCTCAACCTGCACCTTAATGCCAAAACGCATCTCAAAGGCACTGAGGACAGTTCTCACATGCTTGGCGTTCTCAAGGATCGCTCGCTCAACAGCCCCGTTGGACTGATGGGATCCCTTGTGCAGCTTCCTTTCCCCGGCTCTTGGCCGCAGCTTCGGCCAAAGCCTTAATCGATCTCTCGCCGTCTGACATGATCACCACCTTCTGGCGACCACAAAACTTAAGAGCCTCGGTGACGATGGCTAACCCGTAAGGATCAACCCCCTCGTTGACTACACCAGAAAAGGTAGCCCCTGACTTGTGGTCGCAGACCACCAGCACCGGTATGGTGCCTTCTTGTTCGTCCTTGGGCTGCTTGCTATTCCACCGCAGTGGGGTCCTTCTTGGCCTCAAGGGCCCTTCCAAAGAAGCAGTAGTCTAGGGAAAGCTTAGCCACTTCAAGCAGCTCGGACGGCCTCGAAGGGTGGTCGTCCTCCCTAGTCTTTCCTCGAACGCAATGATCACACCAACTCCTATAGGGAAGGTGTGTGATCATGTGGTTGTCGTACTCCTCTTGCGACACGGTTGCTGGTATCTTCTTTGTCCTCACACATCTCTGGGCTTCAGAAACCTCGGGCGGCGGCTCGTCACTCAAAGCAGGAACTGCACGGTCGGGTCCTCCAGACCTTTGTGCCGGCTCACCCTCAGCTTCTCCCTCCTGTTGCTCTGGAGCAGCTTCGCCGTCAGCCTCTTCTCGGAAAACCGAGGCTAGCACAGACTTCTTTGCAGCACGGGTCGCCGCTACGACAGAGGGCTCTACGCCTTTGGCGTCTTTGCCCTTGGTAACAGTAACAGGGAGCCAGTAGACTCCTTGGCGCTTGTTAAGCGCAAGCTTCTCCTTGGTTCTTTCACAACCTTCTTCTGCTTGTCGGAGGCGGAAGGTGGAACAAGGAAACCACCCGCAGGGCCTATCACAGTCCCAAGCCCTTTCTCAGCTGCCTCGCCAACCGACATTACTGAAAACTTGATCTGTTCAGATTCAAAGTACTCGATCTGAAGCTTGCCTTTGCCTTCCAGACCGAGTTCGCTCTTCTTTCTCTCGCTGGTGTGCAGCGCCTCGCCTGTTACAGTAACCAACTGTTTGTTCAGGCTCTTGCCAGGCACTGCTGCGGGATCGAATCCCTTCTGGAAAAGGTGTGACCCGGCACCCGTGTCCACAAGGATCTCTGGGAGTGCCGCAGTGGCTTCAGAAACGGCCGGCGCGGAGACGCTCCAGCCATCAAGGTTGGAGTCGCCAAAACCGGCTCGGGTTCGTCCTCGGGAGCGGCGGCCGTTGGCCTCCTTCCGCCTCCCGGCTTTGGTTTTGCCTTGGGCTTCCCTTTAGGGTTCGGCCTGTCCCCGCTATTCTTCTCCTGCACTCAGCTTTGGTGTAGTTCGGTTTGCCACAGTAGAAACAAAGCTTCTGGTCAAACGACCCTGGGTTGCCCTCACCTTTTCCTTTGTCCTTCCCTTTTCCTTTGTCTTTGCCTTTGCTGGGCAACGCGCCAATGTCCATCGGCTGCGGCGGCAGCTGCTGAATTATGCGGTTGGTGCGAGCAATGTCAAGCAGCTCCGCCTTGACCTGAGAGTAAGTAGTCAGACGGGAAGCGTTGCGGATCACGTGGTCGCGCAGCGACTGGTCCGTGAGCCCGTTGATGATAACACCAAGCAGAAACTCCTCGTCAATCTGCTTTCCGGACTCGGACTCAAACTGCCGCAAGGACCGCTCAAACGCAGCCAGCTCGGCCTCGAGGCCCTGGCCAAACTAGGTTCCCAAGAGAACAGAAAGGCTTCCAACGAAGCCGCTTGCAACTTTCGAGCTGTACTCTTGCCACAAGAGGCGATATCCATCGATCCCCTCACCAATCCCAGCATTGTAAAGAACATCCAGAGGGCGACCTCTGGTGAGGATAACCAAGATGTTGTACAACTTGGTACTCAGCTGCTGATCGCTAAGACTCAATGCTCTGTCGGGTCTGTTGGGCATGGGGATTCGGTTCTGCTCTGGCCGCTCCAGAAGCCCAACATACTGGGGATTGATGCAGGTAAGGTAGCTCTTCAAAATGAAGGCCCAATCTGCAAAATCGCCCGATTTGCCTTTAAAGATGTCCAGGTTGCCCAACTGGCGAAGGTCAACCAAGTTTAGGTTGTTGTCTGAGGGCGGGGCAACCCGCACCTCAGGCACAGCTGTGTTTATCGACATCTGCCACAACGGATCGGCCGCCCGGAGCATCTGTAGTTCTGTCTCCTGGGCCGAAAGCCGTTGAATGAGCATCTGGAGATGCTCAGACTGCTGCAACAGCAGCTGGCGCAAGTCCTGCACCTCCGCTTGGGCCATCTGGCCCTGGCCCGTTGGCATCTGGGGACCAA